ATATTTGACATAAAAACAAAAACAAAAAAGAAGAAACAAAACAACAGGGGCCTCCCTGGTGGCAGAAAGGTCAAAGTTTCGGCACTACGACACTTGTCTCCAGCCACCGCAACCTGAGTTCGATCCCTGGACCGCTGGCCTGGAAGCTGACCCACGGGGCGCAACAAGACTCTGCTGTCCTTCACTGCTCCCCTCAGCAGAGTAGATCCACGTGATCTGTTCCCCACTCTTGTCTCTGGTGAACTTTCTTACTTCCCTGCACTGCTGATCTGCACCTCAGTTCTATCACCCCCCCGCCCCAAAACAAAACAAAACAAACAAAAACACAGACATGATATAGGTTCTCCTTGCCTTCCATCAACAGTGATGAGTCCTGGGGGAGGATGTAAGTTACTTGGAGGCCTCAAACCACCACACCATGTACAACCACCCTCCCTCCTACACCTGACAGATCCAGAAGCCCCCCACAGTGTCCTCTACCCAGTGTAGTGTCTAGAGAACTTTCCCAGAGAGTCTGTTGCTCCTTGCCATTCTGCAAACTAGTTGTCCACAAGTCAATTGACTTCTGGATGAGAATTGCCATCTTGAAGTTGCGTAACAGCTGTGAGGAGTTTGCTTATAATCACACGTGCTGATTCATTATCAGGAAGGTGTTCCATAGAGACAACATCCCTGCAAAGCAGGAAGGATTGATTCACAGAGGAATCTTTATTCCTGATCACAGGCTTTCTAATGACACACCTTAGACCTCTAAAGATCTTGGTCTTTGGAGTACACTCCTTGGGCATACCACTTATGGAATTTTCACTGCAAATAACCAGGATTATGACTAGCTAGGGGCATATGAGCATAAAGGAAAGGCTCCACCGCATTTTGGGGGTGAACGGAATGAGTCTTGTTCATTTCCAAATCATCGCCATGTAGGTGTTTGGCAATCAACATGCAAAAGGTCTACATTTCCACTGCAGAGAAGATGTGCCAGATAAATAAATCCAAGTTGACACCATTCCCAGAAAGAAATATTGCATGTTACTAACTCATTATAGCAAAAGTTTCAGAATTTGGATCAGGTTACGGCTTATACTCCATACACCAAGATCTTTAGAGGTTGCCGGCTAAGATATGTTGCTAGAAAGTATGAGATCAGGAATAAAAGTTCTGTGAATCAACCCTCCCTGCTTACGGGAACGTCTCTATTGACCAGCTTTCTGATAATGAATCAGAAAAGCAAATTTATTGTTAGAATGGGTCTCAAATATCAAGGGTGGGTCTCTTTTTAAGAAAGGACTTATTGTTGATCATTCCTTACCTGGTCTATGGAGTTCCCTTACACCTGGGATAGGGATTTGCCAGACCTCCACCATCTTTTCATTGAGAGGTTTTAAAGGCAAAGAGACATCGGCAGTGGTCACCTCTCTCGAGATTTGTTCGTTCCATAAAATGGACATGAGCTGATCATGGTTTATCTCAACATCTACACACCCTAACACGTGGCAATGATTTGACTGAGTCCTTAGATTTTACTTTATGTGATGCTGTCTCTGATATAATCTTTCTGAGAAAATTTGAGTTTCTTCTCAGTCTTGTACTAAACTTTATTAAGAGAGTTTATACATAGGTAGAGAATTAGATTAGTAGCCAAGACATAACCAATGTCTGGTTCCCTCAAACTAACGGATGGAATTGATGAACTGGAAATTAGAAAACAAACACTTAGGAATCTGGTCTCATTTCCCTCATACAGATTTTGGGGAAGAGGTTTATAATGTGCCTTCCCAGTTATATTTTTAATTGGGCCATCGTAAGAAGTAACTTTATTTCCTAACTGACCAAAGTTGTAAAGATGGAAAAAGAAACTGGCAGGAATGGGGTGGATCAGACCTGAAATGGAAGTACCCAGTCTACGGGACTTTGCCCCCAGACACATCACTCCTCTGGGGGTACTGACAACATCCCAGAGACCATGCTAACTTCTCTGCCTTGGTAGTGTCAGACGTTGCATGCTACACTTCTGTCTGGGGAAAGATAGATGTCCATTAATTCTCCAGATGTGCTGTCTGTCCAATATTCGCATCTGGAAATGTTTAAATAAATGATACATTTCCCTTCCCCCCTCCCCATCTCAGTGTCCTGGATTCCTGTCCACAGCCTGTTCATATCTTTCTTGATCTCCATTCACACTACTAGCAATTCTTCCTCCTACTCTCTATATAGTAACATCGTGTCATAACATTTTTTAAAAGCCATTTGTTTGCAAATGGTAGTGTAACCTGTGGACGCAGAATGAATTTTCACTGATGTGCTGACACTGCCACCTAGTGGCCAAAATGGATGACTGTTTTCTTCTCATTGAAATAATTCGTTTGTGAATCCTCTAGAATTCAATGAACTGGCAAATATTTCTGGAAGTATTTTTTAATGTAGGACACACATAGCGAACAAAGAACACAAAGTGCCCCATTCAGAAACAATTGCACGATAATTGAACTTTGATTCGGATATACTCATGTTGAGTTTTAATAAGCATTATGCTTTTGGTATAATTTTATGTCTACACAAAATTTGCTAGCAGAGTACAAGAGTTCTTCGATCCAGCTGATCTATCCCCCTTATGATAACATCTTACATCCCCATGGTTCATTTGTCAAAACTAAGAAATTTACTTTGATGCATTACTATCAAATATGACTATTGATTAACCACAGACTCATTTGGATTTTGTCATTTTGCTTTCAAATAATGTTCCTTTGCTGTCCAACACTGATTCAGGATAACTCATTACATTTTAAGACTTCTGAATCTCTTTGGACTTGTTCTTTTAGGTACAATTATATCCCACCCCAATTACATTTCGATGGTAATAAAAACGAAAGCAAAAGAAAGTAAGCATTGCAATTAGTTATTTTATAACTAAATATATAACTTATTATGTATGAATCTATATAATTATTAACTATTATATTCTCATGAGGGTATTTTCAAGGTTTGAAATGTTTTAAGGTGATTAGAAAAACGACAATGCTTAGGAGAACAGAAAGAAATATGTTGAATCCAGTTAAAGAGAAACCTGCCTTCCATTCCCCCCAGGGAGTGACCCAAATGGAGAGTCAGACCTCTCCTGTCTGCCCACTGCTCCCCTCAGCAGTGTACTTCCTCCATCTGCCTGTTTTGCTCCCTGTCTCTGATGAATCCTCTCACCCTCCTGCACCTCTGGCCTGCACCCCAGAGCTGGGTGCTTAAATAAATATTTTTAAAAATTGCTATTTCTTACTTCTATCCTGTCATATGCTCAGCATAAATCTACACAGGGAGTTACTGTGTGCAGTATAGGGGAACCGAGCAGATAACTGGAAATAAAACCATAGATGGCAACAACAGAACTGAAGTGACCAGAGTGGGAGGAGGAGGTGAGGGCAAGGACCGGGGGGTCTTGGATGGTGGTGGGGGGAGAAAAGTAAAGGGATGATAATAAAAAATATACAGAGACAAAGCTTATTCCATTGATTTGTTCATCCATTCAGCTCTCAAATAGCTTCTACCATGAGCTGTTTGTTGCTCTAGATTTTAGATGTGCAGGAATAAATTATACCAATGATTTCATGAAGCATCACATATGAAAATAAAAAAAAAACAGCTGGAAACATTTGTTTTTCATGATCAAGTATGATACTAAGTTCAGTTTTTCTGTTGGGAATGCCTTCAGGTTAGTTCAGGTCACTTCCATGGTATGGGCTGACTTTATGGTCAGTCGAGGATGCTGAATACAGGAAGCTGTTTTGCACATCTATTGATGATCTTGATCGCTTGGGTTGTCTGGTCGTCTATGTTTTCGCAAATTTTTCTGTTCATTAATGAGAGGGACCAAGAGAAGAGAAAACCATGTTTTCTTTCCTCGGATATTTTTCCTTTCTGGTGCTCTTCCTTTTTCTTGAATTTCTATGAATTTCTCTAGGGTGTAATCTCCTTCCAGACTAGAGAACTGCTGTTAGCCTTTCTTTTAGAGCAATCGATTCTGTAATTCCCATAATCGAGAATGATTTTAAGTCCCTTTTATTCCACAAGGATATAGTCAGGATTCTGAGCTGGGAGCTTGTCTGTTTCAGCACATTGAAGATGTTTTTGTCTGGCTTTTAGGCTGTCAGTCTTCTGATTAGGAATTTCTAGATATTCTAGTCATTCAAATCCCTTGACATTACTTGTCATTTTACTCTCTGTCGTCACAATTTAAAAAAAAAAAAAAACAAAAAAGTCTTTGATTTCCTACAGTTTAAGTTTATTTAAGATATAGCTAGTTTTCTTTGACTTTGATATTTTTTTTTCCTTTGGCCAAAAATATCAAGCTTTCTTGGTAGTTAATTCAAAAAATATGAATATGGGAAAAAATCCAAGAAAACATTGTAATCCATGATTTTCTTTCAGATTTTCACGACCATCTTGGATCATTTCATCCCATCCTACTGAATCATTAACTGACCCGTTACAATTCTTCTTGTAAGTAATATTTTTACCAACATTGCAACTGGAATCTATTTCACTAAACCTATTGGAATTTTTTTAGTCCTTATACTTATGGACAGTTCTGAAGCTTGTAATCCAATTAACTGCTCACTTCCAGAGAATGATATCAACTATATAATGAAACACACCTTTATTTTCCCTCCTCTTGCTCAGAGTTCTAGGTCTGTATTTTAATACAATTCCCAAACAATAATCAGTGGTATAGCTTTCCTTATTGTGGATTTATATCTCACTTCTATATCTCTGGTCGGTGCTTATATGACTGTGGTCTAGACCTTTTTGCTGAACTACAAACCACAAAACCGACCTCAAGCTGGGAATGTTCTCTTGTATAGTTCTCAAACATGCCAAAATCAGCATTGAACTTGAGTTTTCTTCAAGCTCTGCTTTTTCCCCCATCTTTAAAGGATTCCCAGTATATCATTTTCTCAGTCAGAAACCAGAAAGCTCAGGATGGACATTAAGTTGCAACTCTGTCTTACCATTCTCATCCAGAAAGTAGCAAATCCGGTCAATTCTCATCACACATCAGGGGCTGCAACAGTCTCTGTCACTTCATCCCTGTGACCATCAGGGATTCCAGCAATTCCCTTCCAAACCGGACAAGAGTGGCTCCTTGAACATGAAAAATGAAATCCTTCACCAGATTTTCAGGGCTTGTCTGACTTACCCATCCAACACAAACCTCACTGTGCTCGAAGCAAGGTGTGGAGAGTTCTGCCTTCCTGTGTGGCCTCTATCGGACAGCCCCTGCTTGCCTTTTCTAGCTCCTACTGTCCATCAGCTTCTTTGGCTCATTGGCCCCTTTCTGCATTAGCCTTCAAAGTCAACCGTGATATAAGCCCGGCCACTCACTGACCCTCTCCTCCTCCCCTCTCATCTCAGCCCCACTGGCTCCTTCTTCACGCTCACACATTTAGGAGCTTTTGTTATTAGACTGGGGCTATGTCCCTACCTGAAGGTCAGGGACTAGCGGTCTTAACTCTATCTGAAGTCTTAGCTAGCCTTTAGCCTCCATGTATTCAGGGTTCCAGTGTCAGGATATGGACATTTGGGGAAGGAGGTATAATCTGCCTCTCACATGGGGCTCATTTCATTAAGAATTGCACTTCAGGCTACTTCCATCTGTCTCTAGGGGTCAAGGTTAATAGGTCCTGACATCACATTGTCCTAGGGCCTTGGAAGTCCTTCCTCCTCAATGTGCATTTCTCTCTTTTACCTGGCTGACACTCATTCTTCCTTCAGTCCTTAAAGTTCACTTGATCATGGTAATCTGTTCTGACTTGCCTCACCCTTCAAAAAAAAAGTGCAGATCTCTCTCTTCTGGCACAATCTATTCTAACGTTTTGTTTTTTCATTTATTTTATGTGCATCACTGCCCTTGTGAATGCAACGTTCAAGCTGGTGGCAGGACTTTGGCTTGTCCTCTATGGAATCTCTGTACCTGTTGGAGCAGTGAATACATCAGGAATTGAGCTGAGGTTTTACTCTTGATCCTTGATGCTGTTTTTTTGTTTTCACCTGACCTTGCCTCCCCCAGTGTTACTCTACCTGGCTGATTTCTAGGTTCATTCATCTGGATAAATATCTACAATTTGAGGGTCACTACTTTTATCTTCTCCTAAGCCTCTTGTAAGGGCAAGTCTGAGTTGGGAGACTTGCCCGAGAATTTCTATCACGTTCCTGGACCGCTGGGCCATGGCCCCAACATTGCCATAGCTCCCATCAGTAAAATTCTGAGCCCTTGAAGACAGACACACGTTCTTATTAAGCCGCATCTAACCCACTATCTGATACAGAGGAAGCTTTCAATGGATGGTATTAAATGTTTCAATGAATGGATTTCTTTTCAGGAAAAAAAAATAGTATCCAGTTTATTGACTAATGTGCTTGCTGATAAAAACTCTTTTAGGACTAATTTATTTGTCAATATATACTTGTGGGGGTGGGCAGGAGTAGGGAGAGTGCCGCGGAGTCTGGCTTAAGAATAAAAGTATTTTCTCTTGAGAAAATAACGTGGCTGTTAAGTTCTCTCCTGCCACAAGGTGGCAGGGTTGGATTGTGCGCGTCACATTCCGGTAGAATTGATGGCCCTTCCTTGGGTCTTGTTCAAAAGAATGCATACAGAGGAAACTTCTGGAGAAAATTTTATTCCAAGTGAGCTGAAGTCCAAGATAGAATCACTAGGAGTCCTATTTTCCCTTCTCAGCAGTTAGGTGGCAATAATTCCAAATCTAACGCTAGCAGCAAGGGATATTCATGGGCATTGATGATATCTGTTTCCTCTAATTGAAATTATTAAGTGTTAACTGCCTCATTTACAAAATGGTAAAGTTCTGAGCTAAGTGGTCAACGTGGGTTTTAATACTTTAAATTCAAAATTACTAATGCTGGCCCTCCAAAGTGGCGCAGCGGGTTAAAGCACAGCACTGAGAAGCTAAAGCCACTTCCGCATGAGTTCGATCCCCGCCCCCCGCCTGCCCAGGAGGTGACCACATGGCGCAGCAGACCTCTCCTGACCCGCCCGCTGCTCCCCTCAGCAGTGTGCTTCGTTAATCTGCCTATTCTGTTCCCTATTCTGTCTCTGATGAAGCTTCTCACCGCCCCTGAGCCTCTGGCCTGTACCCCAGTTCTGTATGCACAAATAAATAAATCTTAAAAGAAAAAATTACGAATGCTTCTGTTGGTAGATCTCGAGGTCAGTCAGCCTCCAGAGATTTTAGTGTGTGTGTGTGTGTGTGTGCGCGCATGTGCATGTGCATGTGTGTGAGAGAGAGATCTCCCATGCCATCCTATTTTTTCCAATATTGTCTGATTTTATTTTTAGTTATGCATAGAAGAGCTAGGATGCAGACCAGAGGTGGGGGGTGAGATAGAGTGGGAAAAAGAACAGGGGGTCTACTGAAATCTACTGCCGAGGGGAGCAGTGGGGAGACGGGAGAGGTCTGCTGTGCCATGTGAGTCACCTCCCTGATGGGGAATTGAACTCATGCTGCAGGGGCTGTGGTGCTGGGCGTTAACCCAGTGTGCCACCAGGGAGGGCTCTTGTGTGATGCTGAAGGCTTCCCTTGCGACCTAAGCAGCAGGGTGTCCTCTGAGTCCAGTGTCAAACTGGACGCCTTTCTGTGCCTTTCGTCAGCCTTCTCACAGCCACAGCCCCAGCGGGAGGCCTGTCATGGGCTACCTGTGTCTTCACCTGAGATGAGGATAACGTTGCTTAAATGGAGCAGACAAGAGCTCTGAAGTCCCAGAATGCGTGCTCAACAACGGCAGGAAAGCGGATACCTTCTTAAACAAAGCCCACTTAGAAATGCTGAAACTGAGAAGCGTTTTCCTAGGAACTCATACTTCGATAGCCACCTACCCCACACACTAGGTTAAGACAAAGGACTTTAAGTTGAAGACTCAGAGGCTCAGTCGGCACACAGCCCAGACTGACAGACAGCCAGAGGCTCCTTCCGCAGGGAGGTGGAACTCTGCCTTCACTTCTCTCACAGGTGACTTGGGCTTGAATACATGACAGAATGAATTCATTTAGTAAGCAGCAGTCGAGGGGCCTGAAACCTTCACTTTTGTGATTCTGGGCAATGAGATTAGCACGTGACCAGCAAATGTTGTGGAGGAAGCTCCGGGCTGACACAGCCCCCAAGGGCAGCGGCTGACAGGCATGATGAGCGCTGAGGTTCCACCAGTTGCTCCCCAGGTGCTTCCGAGACAGTGCTTTGAGATTCTTTAACATCCTTGCTGTAAAACCTTAAATGAGCTGATAGGGCTAAGATTTTTTTTTAAAGTTTTGATTTATTTACTTATTTGCTTATTTATTTATGCATGCATACATAAATACATGCATAAATGGGGTTAGCGGCCACAGGTGCTGCGGCCTGTGGGTGAACTCCCTGGCCCGGGCTCGAACTCAGGCTGTAGTGGTGACTCAAGTGGCCTTGGAGCAGGTAAGGAGGTCATGAAGGGTAGCAGCCTCTGCCAGCCCCCATACAGCTGTGCAGGATGTGAGTATCAGAACTCTACCCCTACTGCTCCCTGTTTAAATGAGATAAATCCAGTTTCACTTTTTTTTTTTTTTAAGATGTATTTATTTAAGTATACAGAACTGGGGTACAGGCCAGAGGTGCAGGGGCGGTGAAAGGCTCCACCAGAGACAGAGTTGGGAGCAGAACAGGCGGATCTACAAAGTGTACTGTTGAGGGGAGCAGCGGGCGGGTCAGGAGGGGTCTGCCGCGCCATGTGGTCACCTCCAGTCGGGGATCGAACTCATTCTGCAGTGGCTTTGGCTTCTTAGTGCTGCTCTTTAACCTGCTGCACCACCAGGGAGGGCCCAAGTTTCACTCACTTTTAGCACCTGGGCTGACCCTAGGACCCACACACAGGTGTGTGTGATTCTGAGGGTAGAGCCGTTGGTCCCCCACGTGGCTTGAGGTGGGGGGCTGAGAGTTTCCATCGTTTGTTCATTCCCTTTGCCCATGCATTCATGTGTGCTTGGTTCAACTCTGATATCAGTAAGAACTAACTAAACTAGTCCTCAGACAGTGGACCAGAGACTTCAATAGACCCAGAAGAGACAAAACAAGGCCTATACCAGCCTTTCATGAAGCAGCTGAAGAGTTTTGCAGCGTTCACTCAAGTAATATGGGACTGTTTTGTGCGTGTGTGTTTTGTTTTGTTTGTGTAAATGAGGACCTTGGTAAGATAATTGGAAAGGATAATTCAGATTGCTTGACACACAGATTGGTCTAGGTCTCTAGAAAGTCCATGTTCAGTCCACCTACTGCTGATGGTTGAAACAATTGTTCATGCATCTAACAAACCCAGACGTATACACCAGTGACTACAAGATGGATTAAGATTTAGTGTTTGCAGCAATGTATCAACTAATACACTTACACTTGTGTATAACGGTGATCGTCAGAGGTAGGAGAAAGAAAATCCCTACTCATAGAGAAATATATGTACTGAATAATGGAAACTTGCCCGTTTAAATGTTAATGGACTTCTAGTCATCCTTCTTTAATCTAAACATATAAGTTATAGGTTTAATAACAAGTGAGATTATCAAGATACTTTATCATTTTAAAAAGATACCAATTATTTTAGAAGCTTGGATTTTTTTCAAGAAAATACCATTAGATAATAAATATGTAATCTTAAAAAAAAAAACACTTTAATGAGTTTTAAAATTCCCTGAGCCCTACAATAATGCAAACCACTTCTCAAGGAGCAGAATAAACTGGATTCTTCCCTCCATAAAGAGAGAAGAGAGGAGGAATTTGTATGAGTGTATGTATAGAAGACCTGGGGTGTCCGCCAGAGGTGCAGGGAGGTAAGAAGATTGACCAGAGACAGAGTGGGAAGCAGAACAGGTGGATCTATGAAATCCACTCTGAGGGGAGCAGCAGGGAGACAGGAGAGGTCTGCTGCGCCTGGTGGGTCACTCCCTGGCTGGGGATTGAACTCAGGCTACAGTAGTGATGGTGCTGAGACTTAGGCCCTAGGCCACCAGGGAGGACCCTGGGGACAGGTAATTGCAAAGGAGGGAAGGAGGGAGGACTGTGGAGGACTGTGGTGACGACGGGTGGGCAAAGTGGGGCAAGGGGAAGTAG